TAAATTTTTTATTTAATAATTATTTAGTAAATTATATTTATATAATTTACTTTAAAATTTACCACATTATAAAACTTTTATAATTAAAAAAGTATCATATCACTTACTTTATTTCCACATAATACTCAATAATAATAAAAATTGAATTTCTTAATGGAGAATTTTGTCACATCAGCATTTAACTAACGAAAGGATGAAATTGGTCCCAAAAATTTAAGTTCAAGGATTTTTTTAGTACTTTTTGAAGTTCAAGGGTAAATTTAGTAAAAAAATAAAAGTTCAATGACTGAACCGGGGATTTAACCTTCTTTCTTCTTTTTCGGGTTCTTCTTTTTTTTTTTTTTTTTTTTTCTGGTTTTCCTCTCCTCTTCCACCCTTAATTCAAAACCCTTGAAACCATCAACCTCCTAAGCTCTCTCTGATGCTGTTTCTTCTCATCAAAATCGCTACTTGCTGTTCTTCTTCCTTGTCCGTGACTTGAAGGCTCAGTGGGTGCTTCTTCTGCAACTTTCTAAGTAAGTAATCAACCATATTACTCATCTTTTACCTTTGAATTGAGTTGGGTTATCTTTAATCCTATTAGGGTTTTCAATTTGGGGTTTATTTCTGTAGTTTTTCTCCTTGGTTTTGCCCTAGTAGCACCACATCTGATCTGTTCTGCTAGATTCGGACAGCATGACCTATCTGTAGTGTTTTACCCATAATTCTGTCTATAGTCATCGGATTAAGTTGATTTTTAACTCTATAGAAATTTAAGAGATAGCCCTACAACTTTTCTGTTGGATGTTTAACCCAGTTCTATCGTTTTCATGGTGAAAAATCTGATGCAATTCCGGACCCTACAGGTGGACTGCACTGGCAGCCCGACCTTCTGTTAGTATTTTAACTATAACTCTCTCTATGCATGTCAGGTTAAGATAATTCTTGAGGCTATAGAACACTAAGACATAGGGCTACAATTTATCTATTGACCACTCAACCCAGATCAGTCAATTTCTGGGCATGAATTCTGTTGGAAATTCCAGCACGAAATGTGACCAGAACTTGACAGAAATCGCTCTTTTTTCTGTTTTATTCCCACCTTATCTACTACCATATTACATCATGATTTTACTAGATTTTAACTGTTGTTTTCATGCTCTAAAACCCCTTGTTATTGCTTTGTTTTGGTTGCCTTTTTGCTACTACATTTTTGCTTGAATGCTGCCCAGTTTTGGCTTGTTTCAACATTGTTTTGCTGCTGTTGTTTGCCC